CACTTGGTAGCCCAGGCTGGCCTCGAACTCACAGAGATCCTCCTGCCTCTGCCTCCCGAGTGCTGGGATTAAAGGCGTGCGCCACCACCGCCCGGCTCCTCTCTTTTATTTTTAAAACCACTGAGTCCAAACTGTATTGCATCTATAATTTTGGCTGTGGGGCCTTTTTAGAGCATATTGACCCTACCATGGGTTGCACACTTAAAGACACTGTCCCTCTCTCCCAGCCTCTGTAACATATCAGTAGCTCTTCTGTGCACATCCAAGTCTCTTTACAAGGTCTGGCATTAGCATACATGAGTGTTGTACATGTTGTAACACCTGCTGTAACCATGTATATGAAACCATCCTACTGTGTGGAAAACAGCACTTGTACTCAATCACTGCCTGTGGTTATTATATTTTATCTGCCCCATCTTACATGAATCCTTACTTTTCTGTATACTATTTTTGCATATTTGACATGTTAGGTTCATAAATACATTTCTTGTACACACAGTTGGAGTACCTCCCTCATTCCCATCCCGGATGGTTCCAGCTTAAGTACTATACTAAAAAACAGTATGTATCTCACCAGAGAAAATCATGCATCAGTATTAAACACTTCATAACTGAAAGTAGTACTGAATGAATTTTGCATACTAAGCTAAGCCTATCTTATCAGAGAAAAGTTGATACTACAGAAAAAAATTCTTTATAACTCTTGTGTTGTGTGCCTTTAGTAAGTGGAAATGCAGTTTTGTACTTGAAGACTTTATTATAAAGTAGAAAACAAGCAGCAAAATTCACCTCCAAAATAAAACAGATGAAATAACCAGAGAGTGAATGAAAAGTAACAAAGTATATTTTAAGATCTTGCTCACTAAAGTGCTAAGATAACAAAGGAAACAAGAAATAAATGACCACGTAAACTTGAATAAATTTAACAATAAATTAGTATAGCTTATCTACAAAATAAAATAAAGAATGTCTAGGGAAAAGGATGGTTTTTCAGGACTCAAAATTTTAACGTTATTAAAATATTGCATAGATGAATCTATGTGCACATTATTCTTTCAAATATTTCTTTTGTTTTTGAGATTATAATATCATATCATTAACCCTTTTGCTTTCCTCCTTAAGGAAACATCCAGATGCTCATCATTGCTCTCTTTCAAATTCATGGTCTTTCTTCAAATTCAAGATGAAAATCACAAATTTTCTGCAGGTGGAGTATTAAAATACATTTTTGAAAACCTAAAAAGTAGTTATATATCTATGTGAAACTTAAATGACCCCACTCCCCACATTTCAATAGCTTCTCCAGTGAACTTTTATTATTTTTGTTTGTTTTTGTTAATTATTTGTTTCTTTTCAATAAATCCCAACTACAGTTTCCTATATCCAAATAATTATTTCCCCTCCCTCACCTCCTCCCATTTTCTATCCCCCTACACACCCTCTCCCCTGATCCCCTCCTGCTCTGTTTCCCTTCAGAGAAGAACAGGCCTCCCAGGAGTATCAACCAAAGAGAGCGTAGCAAGCTATAATAAGACCAGGAACAATCCGTCATCTCAAGTCTTTGGGAGGCAACCCAGTATGTGAAAAAGAGTCCCAAAAGCAGTTGAAAGAGTTAGACACACCCCACTCCCACCATTAGGAGTTCCATAAAAACACCAAGCTAACAACCATAACATATATGCAGAGGATCTAGTGCAGACCCATGTAGGCCCTGTGATTGTTGATTTAGACTCTGTGAGCTCCTAGGAACCCTGCTTATTTGATATCTGTTGGCTGTGTTCCCCTGGTGTTCTTGACCACTCTGGCTCCCACAATTCTTCCTCCCTTTCTTCCCATGGGGTTCCCTGAGTGCCAAGGGGTGGGACCCGATTGAGAACTTCAAACCCTTTGGGTTCTTTCTTTGCCTAATAATTGTCAGTCGGTCTCTGCATCTTCTCCCATCAGCTGCCTATGGAAGTTTCTCAAGACAATTGGGCTAGGCACCAATCTATGAGTATAGTTGACTGTCATTATGAATCATTTTCTTAATTTTTTTCTACCTAGTGAACTCTTCCAAATCTTCAAAAATGTAATAATTCTTATTCACTGAAGCTCTTTTAATGAATGAACAAAAATCGACAACATGGAGCAATTTATTAAACATAATTAAGTTGTGACCAATATCTGAGAAAAATGTTTTAGGGAGTGAATTTCTTAGAACACTCTGCCTGTTTTGTAATATCCATATAAGCAATAGAAAATGTAGATTTATTTTACACGGAATTCATATCTGAATTCAAAGAGGTTCATGCACTGTAATTTAATAACATAATGACTTCTAAAATAGAAAAAAACAGTATCAGGAAAAGCAGAGGATACGTAGAAGTAAAAAGAAAACAGTATTAGGCTTGTTTGCTTTCTATCACTATAAAGAAGATGGACTGTATGAGGAGACACTGTCAGTGGGTAGCAACTGTGAAATGCAGCCATTTGCCTTTATGGGTGTGGTGATAAAGAGGCTGTGCATGCTTCAGGATTGGTCCCATTTCCATGCGAGTACTGGCAGCAGTCAATCAACTCAGTGAGTTTCAAACTGTGAGAACATGTGGTTGAGAACACAAGGGAAAAGTGAGAGCAGGGGAAGAATTAGAGAGAGGGGTTAGGAGATGGCTTGGATCCACACATTTTAGCACATATAAATATTAAATAAAATCTCTAATAAAGGAGATGAATCTGAAATGAGGAAATATAGTGTTTGTTTGTGACTGAAACAACACAGGAAAATGGACTTAGAGTCCAATGAGCTAAGAAATATCTTAGGAGAAAAGGGTCCACATTCGTTTTTGACCAGATGTGGGTCAATGTGTGAAGTATCCAGAAAGAAGCGATGGGAAAACAGAAGAATCACTGTCTCCAGAAAGCTGGGAGGTTTCGGGCCTATAAAAACTCCTTATGGATGCCATTAATCATCGTAGCACTGTGCTTCTCTACACTCCTTGCTGTGGCTCTTGGAATCTTTGTGAATAAACAAAGACACTTATTGTCAAGGATAATCATCAGACCCTCAGTTACACCAAGCTCATCACAGTCACTCTGTTTCCTCTGTTCCTAGCTCTTTTGGCAGCCAAAAACAGCCAGCTGTATCCTGCAGCAAACTGCATTTGCAAATTTTTTTCACTGTGACTCTTGCCACTGTGATTACTGCCAAAGATATTACTGTGGTTACTGCCTTCAGGGTCACATTTCCAGTGTGAATTGTAGGGTAGTTAAAGATATCAAGGGCCCTGAACTACAGCATTTATATCCATACCCAGAGCCAAATTGTTCTCTGTGGAATCTGGCTTGGAACACGTCTTCTCTTTATTGACAAAGATGCTCACAGTGAACATGATGACATAATCATTGTGTGTCACTTGGCCTCAGCTCTTGCTTCCCACTGAGGTCCAGGATGCCTCTATTCCTTTGCACTTGAGAGTTATACCTTGGCCCCCTCCAGAAATATGTCTAACAATTTTAATAAAGAGAGGTTACTGCCATTCAGAATGCTGCTTCGTTCTATATCTGCAGCACATTCCTCCCTGTCTACCACAGTATCATGGTGAATGCCATGGTTGCCATAAAACTATTCTCCATCATGGCTTCCTGTGCAGGAACTCTAGGCTTCATCATCATTCTACACTCTCAGTATTCTAAATCTTTAAAAACATCTCCTTAAACTGGGGACTATGAGCTCTCACTCAGGCAATACAACAACTAACATAGCAAAATCAAATCACATCTGTTCTGCCACAAGCATATAGCACCAGTAGTGAGTCAATCTAAGATGTACTTGGACAGCCCATTGCCCTTATATTATAGTACTACATGTAAAGTTTTTGTTAGCCTCTATTCCATATACATCTGACCTACCTACAATTTCTTATTTCATTTTAAGAACTGCTTTCAGAGAATCTGAGACTTTTATATTCTGTGTGGCATAAAATGGATGAGCTTTACAGGAGGAAATACTTCATTCAGGACATAAGAGTAATCATCAGTCCTTGAGAAAGAGCATTAGAGAGCAATAGTGTATTATATCACAGACAACAGGAATTGTGACTTACAGGGAAAAAAATTATTCCTATTAAAACTAGGAGAGTAGTTGAAGAGATGATTTGTGGTTAATAGCACCTGTTACTATTTTAGAAGACCAGAGTTTAATTACCAACACCCACATAGCAGCTCACAATACATTGTAATTTGAGTTTCAGAGCATCCTACAGCTCTCTCAATTTTCTATGGCTTCAGCAAGCAGGTGGTTCACAGACAAACATGAAGACAATAAAAAATAAATATTAAAAAATAAAACTTGGTGCTGTGGGATGGTCTATATGTCAGATTGCTCTGATTGGTCAATAAATAAAATATTGATTGGCCAGTGGCTAGGCAGGAAGTATAAGCGGGACTAACAGAGAGGAGAATGGAGAGAACAGGAAGGCAGAGAGAGACACTGCCAGCCACTGCCATGACAAGCAGCATGTGAAAATACCGGTAAGCTACGAGCCATCTGGCAAGATATAGATTTATAGTAATGGACTAATTTAAGATGTAAGAACTAGATAGCTAGAAGCCTGAGCCATTAGGCCAAACAGTTTAAACAATATAAGTCTCTGTGT